AGGGAAACTGGCCCTCAATATTCCTAATATATTTCCTTATTCAGTCCATCCCCAATTATGTAACCATTCTCGATCTTCATTACCACACCTTCTCCCATGTGGACATCCTCCACAGCTGTTCTCCCTCTGATAGCCATGTCAGACCACTGTCCCGTCCCTCCACCCCAAGTCCTGTGTGTGGAAACCCTCCTCTTCCCTTTTGGGCTCCGATGCCCCATATGGGCCCCCCGCCCCGTATGGATACATGCCCACTTGCTCTGCCTGGGCTTCGACGTGCCATGCTAGCCTGGCCCCCGTGTGGGCGCTCTCCCCATCGTCTATGCAGACAGCTCAGCTGCCCTGTCCCACCTAATGGCTCAGGGCTCAAGTTGCTCAGGACCAGAAGCAGAGGGGCCAAGATACATCTCTTGATTCTGTCACCCAGTCCCCAACATTTTCCTTTTTTCAAGCTTCCTATACTACTCATTTACCTAACACTAAGCTCAAGATCTATATGCCCTTGAATATTTGCCTACCTTCCCCTCTTCACGGCTATTCCCAGCTAAATCAAGAGCAACTACATTTGATTCAAAATCTGTCTCACGTCTTTTTATTTCTCTTCATTTTCACTGCACCGATTAATCTCCTTACTGATGTTCCTCTTTCTGTGTCTCACTTCCCATGATTTATTCTTATAGAGCATCTGGCATGATCTTTTAAAAGTGTAAGGCATGATGTCCTTTTGAACCCTCCATAGTAGCTAAGATCTGGAAACAGCCCCAAGTGCCCATCAGTAGCTGAGTGGATAAAAAAGCTGTGGGACATTTACACCATGGAATACTATGTGGCTGCGAAAAAGGGAGCTCTTACCCTTTGAAACAGTATGGATGGGCCTGGAGAGTATTATGCTGAGTGAAATCAGCTACTCAGGGAGAGACAATATCACGTGATCTCACTTATTTGTGAAATCTAAAGAACAAAATAAACTAATGAACAAAATAGGTCCAGAGGTATGGGTGCGTGGAACATAACAAATCTTAGTGCAAAGGGGGTGTTGTGGGGGAGGGGACAGGAAGAGATTAACCAGAGATCATATATGCATAACCCATAGACACAGACAATAGCATTGAGAAGACCTGGGGTGAGGGGGCAAAAGGGGTAAAATGGGAGACATCTGTAATACTGTCAACAATAAAATATATACATTTTTAAAAAGCGTAAGGCATGATGTCCTTTTGAACCCTCCACTGGCTTCCCATGGTACTTAGAATAAAATCCATATCCCACCTGTATATATGGTAATCAATCCTGGCTGCATGTTAGCATCACCAGGAAAACATTTAGAAATGCTAAGCCTGGGTCCCACTTAAGTCCAATTAAATCAGAATATGTGGGGATGTGGCCCAGGCATCATTGTTTTTCCAAGTCCCCTGGTAAATCTGATGGGGATCAGGCTTGAGAATCATGCCTCCCTCTCACCAACTCCATACTTTGTTTTTCCCTTTCATGACTGGTTCCTTTTAGCTTCCCAGAGTGACCTGTCCCTGACCCCCTCATCTAAACTAATGTCCTGTGTCACCATTCTCTGCCATGTTACTCTTGTTGAGCACTTCTTGGCACTGTCGTTATCTGAGATCATCTAGTTTATGTATTCTTTTTTTAACATCAGAGTGTAATTTTCATGATAACTCTTGTTCTCCACGACACCTTGGTGCCTAAATTAGTGCTTAATAAGTATTCATTGAATGGCTGTATACAGAGGATAGAAGAGCCAAGTGAGGGACCTGTCATGTGGGAGCTGGGAAGAGAGAGAGACATTTGGGCCGGAGGTGAAATCGAGCAGATGATGGAGTCTTGACGGATGGAGATGATCTGAGAGACCAGATAAACTAAGCAGCTTTGACAATGGAATTAGGAACTCTCTGATAGCTCAAATCAGAGGGGACAGATTTTTTTTCTGGATTGGGACAATCCCAGGAAAACAGAAATGACTTTTCTCACATGGAAGAACAACCCATAGGATAGAATCACTTTTGACTCTCACCATGGTTGCTATAAACTTCCTCTGTGAGACTGTCATTTCACCTAAATGTTGGTAAGAGTAGCCCTCTGGACTCAGCCATCCCCAAAACCATCCCCTTTATTTCAATCATGTACTAAAGGGAGGATCTGAGATTCCTACCAGTTCACATCACTCATTTTGTTATAGCTGCTTGTTGCTATACATTTGCTACCTCTTTGTATCATGATATCCATTCAGAGACCTAATCACATAACCATATTTAACTATGATCATCTCACTTTAAATATTGGGATTAATTAAAAAATTGTGTTCTTGCTTATATCACAACCCAGATTGAGGAAATGAGCAAGCAGTCTCTTGGCCAAACTTCAGTACTGCTGTGTGCACATCATTAGAAGACAGGGCTCTTTGGAAAAGACAGTAATGCTGGGGGGAGGGGGCATCAGGAAGACTGCAGGAATAGAGGAAGACCAAATATGAGATGGGTTGACTCCATGAAAAAGCCATAGGCGTGAGTCCACAGGAGCTGAGCAGGGCTGCTGAGAACAGAACCGTGTAGGCATTGCTCGTGCACAGGATCACCACGAGTCGAAGCTGACTCCGCAGCATGTAATAACTCTTGAGCTATTACCATATCCCTTGCAGTTGTTAGCAATTGAATTTATGGAGTCTTGATAGTATATGATTAAAACTCTAGGTATGTACTATGTTCTGCTCCTGCCTGATGCCAAGCAAAATGTCCACTTTTACAAATTCAGCGTGGTAATTTTGTGTGTTTAGATAGAGGTTTTACATATACCATGATTCTAGAGGAGACTTAAGAGGCTAAAAAAGGTTTTCAAAAATGACAGGTTGAGGAAGCATACTTCTGTGATGAATGGCTGTGCAAAAATACTGTTTACAGAAGTGCAGGTAAATTCCTTTCTGAGACTGAAGCAAAGTCTACACTGTAACAGCTTGGTTTTATAGGACACTGAGAGATGAAACTGGTTGGAAGAGACTCAAGTATTGTCTCTCAGCTTGCCTCCCCCCCACCCCAGGGTGAAGTTGGAGCCATTCACTCAGGCAACAGCCGTTTTCATGTGTCAGCAGGCCAAGTGTGTGCCAATGCTAAAGACATGAGACCCGGGAGAGGTATTTAGTGTGAGTTACCTCTGGAACTCGCCCACACTTTGGCATTCTAAATTGGGAGCAGTGTTTCCTGTTCCAGTATCTTTCTCTTAACCCTGGGCCTTGATGCAAACCCATAATGATTCCACAGGACAATGCCCCATTTCTCCATTTAAAACACAATAGTGAGCCTGGCTGGCATGGCTCAGTGGTTGAGCATTGACCTATGAACCAGGAGGTCACAGTTTGGGCTGCGGGCTATCGATCCCCAGTGGGGGGGCGTGCAGGAGGCAGCTGATCAATGACTCTCTCTCATCATTGATGTTTCTATCTCTCCCTCTCCNTCGGGCTCTCGATCCCCAGTGGGGGGTGTACAGGAGGCAGCTGATCAATGACTCTCTCTCATCATTGATGTTTCTATCTCTCTCTCCCTCTCCCTTTCTCTCTCTGTAATCATTAAAAACATTTTAAAAAAAACCCCCAAAACAATAGTGAAATTTGTGAATACTGACAGTTTAAAATTTTCAAAAATTTATTAAATCTATGTGCAAAGAAGGTAAATTCAACTTTCCACTTGTAGCATGTCCAAAGTAGATTGTGTNGCGGGCTATCGATCCCCAGTGGGGGGGCGTGCAGGAGGCAGCTGATCAATGACTCTCTCTCATCATTGATGTTTCTATCTCTCCCTCTCCCTTTCTCTCTCTGTAATCATTAAAAACATTTTTAAAAAACCCCCCAAAACAATAGTGAAATTTGTGAATACTGACAGTTTAAAATTTTCAAAAATTTATTAAATCTATGTGCAAAGAAGGTAAATTCAACTTTCCACTTGTAGCATGTCCAAAGTAGATTGTGTGTTTATTTTCTGGGTGATTTTACATAGAACAAATTACGAGAAAGATCTATTAGCAATTGCCTAACATTTTAATTGCAGCTTGTATCTATCCCTTGTGTGTTTATGGCTGCTTTATACATATGTGCCTCTTACAGCAGGATGCCTTTTGGATGTGGGGAATGAGGAAGATTATTACAGTGAATTACCTATAGTAGGTGCTTAGTAAATATTTAATATAAAATATGTGTTCACGGGCAGATTAAATTGTATATGCTCTCTACAAGATAGAGGGCGGGGAAACATCCATAGGTATGTGTATATTTCTTGGAATTTTGAAAAGCAAGTTAAAGCCTTTTCTTAAAGCCTCATCAAGCAAACACATACAATCTTTTTACAATGCTTATAGCATTGCCAAGCATTATTTGAAATGTTATTTCATTATTTCATTTGTTAGGTGCAAATATTTGTATACATAAGATTTGCTACTCCAGATTAAAGTTGTTGCAGAGTAGTGGTTCTNCCAGATTAAAGTTGTTCCAGAGTAGTGGTTCTTATGCTTGGAACTTAAAAGAGAGACAGAAGAGGGAGAGAGGGGAAAGAGAGGCAAAAGGGGAAAGAGAAATGATGTAAATTATTTTAAATATCTGTTTTAATAGTATAAGGTGACTTGTAGAATGTATATATATATATGGGTGGAAGTCCAGATTCATTTATGAGAAAACACTTACTTAGTGACTGTAGGGCACTAATGAAAGTGTTAAGAGGTTGGGTTGCCTTTTTTTTTTTTAATCTATCCTTTCTCCAAAGGATCAGAGATGAAGCATGATTCTAAATGAATTTTAAATCCTTCGGTTATTAAGAGAATAGAGCTCTAAAATTGATCTAGATTTTTATTGTATAATAAACCGAAATGTGCATATTCTAACATATTGCCTGCTAATTGTCTCTTGGATTCCACTCTAGTATTCTAACAGAATATGAGGATGTATATTGCTAATGCCTTTATATTATACCAGATAACGTAAAAGATTGTGTGTTCTTATACCTTGACAGGCTGGTACAGAGGATATACCCTCCAAAACAAAGCTAAAAAGGTATGACTTATTCCATTTCTGAGTAAGTCTGTCTGCTAGTTTTGTGTTGTGCTATCTGATCCCCTCTCTGCGCTCTGCTATCTCTAGACTGTTTGCTTTCTCTTTGATGGCTCTTCTTTAGATGTGAAAGCAAATCCTCTGACCTCAATGCTCCTGTAAAATAATGCAAATACTATCAACCATTTTTTCCTACCAGCCAACTCAGGATAAAGGCTCAGAGGTGAATTCACAGACCAGCTGGGCCTTTGCAGGCTTCTTGCTCCCTTGTCCCTCGAGCTAAGCAGTATGGCGATGCAGCGACATTATTATGGTTGGCTCTGCCTCTCCGGGTGGAACTCATGCTCCTTTAACCCTTAGTTGCAATGCTGAACTCCCAGAACTAAAGCGTCTCCCCATTTCTACTTGATTCTCTCCTTCATTATAAAATGCACCACCAGAGCAGTAGTTTTCAAATTGTGAACCCCATAACCCCAAATAACACATCACAAAATCAATATAGTGGGTTTCAACCACTATTTTCCAAAAAAAAAGAAACTGAAAAATAGAATAGAAAATAGAATGCCAATGATAAGTATTATTTCATGAAACTTTTGTTTCGACCCATATTTTTACATTATATATTTTAAATTGTATTTTATGTGTAGTAAGTACTGGGTTACTATAAAAATGTATCTCCTCATGGGCAAAGAGTGGGAAAGTACTGACCCTAGTGGGTTCCTTCTCCCAGTGCCAATACTACCAATACTATTAATCATCAAGCTAAAGAAATCTGCTGATTATGTTAATGTCCTCAGTGTGTTGAGGTCAGGTCAGCTCTTTTCCTGACACTGCACTCAGGACAGCTCAGCATGTCAGCATTTTCTTCCCAAAGAGCCAAGTGGATAGGGCTGCACTATTTTACAGTCAGGTCACATCTGAAATCAAGAATTAGGAAAGGGGTGAGGGCAACATTTTAGAATTTATCAAGAGGTAAATAAAATGTAAAAACCCCACAAACCCATAGCTCTTATCTTGAGATTGACATAATCCTTGCCCACAACTCTCAGAAGAGCTCAGGGCCCAGGAAAACACCTTTCTTCAAGCTACAGGCCGTCAAAAACCACGACTGACCTGGCCAAGCTCTCCACCTTGTTGACTCCTCAGTCACACTCAGTATTTGCGCCTGCCTATGTACATGCACACGCTTTGTTAACTTTGACAATTTAATAATCTTACTAAAATAAAGGAGTGCTCACTAGTAATATGAATATCAACTCCCACAATTCTGCTCCTTTGACTCCTCCCCACATCCTGATGCGGAATTTTTTCTACCCACAGATTGTTGCTTGTACCACATGCCTTCATTTCCAGCTTAATTATTTTCATGTAATGTCTAGCTGACTTGAATTTCCCCAGGCCTTGAAATAGGGACCTAAGGTGGCATGACCTAAAGCGAAGACCTTTCTTTCAGGATGCAGGTTACACAAGAGTACCTGGTGTTGACAGCCACTTCCGCTTCTTGGTTTGGGTTTAACCCTACCAGTGTTTATTTTGCTCATAATTATGGAAGTGTTAGTTATTTCAAAGCATAAGTAGAGTTAATCATTTTGAGGTTCTAAATTTATTAAAGAGCAAGAACACTTATGCCACTTTATTCCCTATCCTTTAAAAAGTTAATTTTAAAAAGTGAACTAAACAAAAAAATCTACTCTCAGCTAACATCATAGGAACTTAAAGAACAAACAAAATTCTTGATTTTTAACTGGTGACTGCGAATCATGTTGAAACTAGGTCCCAGACCTCAGCCTCCCTGTTCACAGAGTCTGTAGTGTGCAAGGATCCCATATAAGGACCCTTTAGGAGCATAGCCGACTTTGGTTTTTAAGGCATCCTCTGACTCCCTAGTAGATCAGAACACATCTAGCTGGTGCCTTTGCTCCCTGCTTTGAAAATTGGATAGACACGGTGCCACACTGGGATCTAAAGGACAAGTTCTGAATGTGGTTTTAATTTTTTTATTTTGTATTTTCTTAAAACCCTATTTACACTTTAAATCTCACCCTGTAGAATTATTTCAGTAAGAGCTTCCCTTAGTTCTTGATCATTAAACTTTATGATTAACAAAATAATAGCACAAACAGGGACCATGCATTTACTGCATGGTTTTCTTTCTTATGGGGAGATCCAGGAAAAACAGAGGGAATTTAAAATCAGTTGTCATGAAGTATGCTCAACTTCTGACACCTCTTCATTAAGACATCTATTTGAAATGCTCTCCTAACGTTTTCTTTGTTTGCCAATCTTTAGGGGAAGAGCTATTTGAGAGGCCTGTTATTTTAATGGAATTTTTTGGTGTCATTTATAAGAGAGACATAGCCATTTAGAGTGGTGATAAAATGAGCTAGTGGTTTTACAAATTGAAGAAGCCAGGAGCTTTGCAGAAACCCATATTGATCTCTGGCAGGGTTGTGGAAGTGTGGATAAGGGCAATATCTAGAAAATCTTTAGTTTATTGTTTTTACTCAAGTGAGTTGGTTACCTTGAGAAAGGAAAAACGAAATTAAGAGGTAGGCTGTAAATCAGAACTATTTCCCAGGGTTGCCCTGGCTTTCTGTGTGTCATAATGGCATAGGACAGCTTCTCCAAGCCCCTGGTTTCCCAGAGCAATTAACTTGTGCTGTCGTGGAAGGAGGATGCCTACAAGTAGCAGAGTGGTTACACAACAAAAGAAATATTCTCTTAATGTGAAAACCGTCATATCTGTTGACCCAATATAATGTGTCTGCTTAGATGTCACAAAATAAGTCCCCTTTTGTTTATATTACAAATGCTTCTACTTGGATTTCTCCCAGTTATTGAGAGGAGACCAGTTATCAGATTATGAATGCATGAACATTTTAACTGGTCCTTGACTCTCTTGATTTGAAAAATCTTCTGCAAGAAGAGCCCTTGGGACTAGCAGTGTTACATCTTATTTTAGCCTCTAAACATGGCTCTTTGTGACTGCTACTTCAAGTGGTTCATCCTTACCCAGTATTTTACTTTTTTTTAATGAGTTCTGGACATGTTTTTATTGGAAAATATACATAACATAAAGTTACTATTTTGATCATTCTAAAATGCCCAGTTCAGGGTTAATAAGTACATTCACATTGTTGTAACACCGTCTCCACCTCCCGTGTCCAGAACTGTTCCATCTTCCAAAACGAAAACTCTGTACCCATTAAACACTAACTCCCCTCTCCTCCCTCCCCTCCGCCCCTGGCAAACCCCATTCTGTTTTCTGTTTGTATGCATTTGACTTCTCTAGACATCTCATGTAGGTGGAATTGTACAGCGTCCCTTCTTCTGTGTCTGGCTTATTTTACTTAGCATCGTGTCTTCGGGTTGAGTTTTGGACACCCGAGCCTGGTTCTCCACAAAGATGGTAGTCGATACAGCATTTACGTTAGCATCTCAGAAAGAAACACCCGGAGTTCCTTAGGCCTCCTGGGGACAGATATGAAGCTTCAGAACCCTAGAAGTCAGGCCCAAAATGAATTGTACACACATTGTATCCCTGTTTGTTTTTAACTGATCATTTTTCCAAAATCACTCTGAATTCTGTCCCTATAATAAAAGAAGTCATGTTACCTTGCCTATGGGTGTGTCCTTGGTCTTATTAATAGCCAAGGACTGGGATAGTGATTTCGCACTCGCATACCCTGCTCCCGCCCCTTCTCAAAGCGAGGAGGGGACAACATGCATATTTCTGTGGTTCTTGTTGCCTAATGGGAAGGATTGACCTTTTGCTTTGACTCAGCAGTGACAGGATCCACCCATGTCACCACCAATGCTGGGAGCTGCTCTTTCTCAAATTTTCTTGCTGTTTCCTATTTTATTGGCATTGGGTTAAAAAAGAGAAAGAAGAATATTGTACAGATCAGTAGAGCACATGAAGCTAGACACACAACCGACCCCGGCTGATGTTCACTCGTTTTCTGTCTCTGAATGGATTGAGGATCCTGGATACCCAGGAATCTTTAGCCCAATCCTCCCAGGCAGCGGGGTGCCCCTCTCCCACCCTTGTAGTGAGCCACCCCTGACATGGAATGTCCCCAGAGCTGCACTGACTTTTATAGGCACAGGCCTCAGAGCAGTTGATCCAATGGTACCTGTTAAACAGGTTCTTCTCTTACCTGCCCTGGCCCGGCTTGCAAATTACCATAAACGAAGAACCACAGTGCCGTTTCCAGATGGCAGTTCCTCTGTTTATTGATGAGCCTGTCTCACAGTTAAACAACAGAAGCTTTTGGCATGGAAGAAAACTGACATCATTGGCTTACTTCCTGTTGGTTAGATCTGATCTTCATTTCTTTGGTTTCTCCTGACCAGCTTCCAGGCTTTCTTTTATGTCTTTGTGGGCTTTAGTTTTCCCCTGGGCAGTGCCTCAATGCTGATGTAGATTTGCCTCTTAAGTGTATAGAATGGAGAGCAATTTGAGACTGGGAAGTGCTAAAAATAACCAGATAACCAGCACTAATTGATTTGGGGCACATTTGGTTAAAGTGAAAGTACTGAGAGGAAATGCTTTAGAAAATCACTATGGTTTTATGGGCCACTAAGTACAAAGTCGTGCATCTCGCTAATTATGTGAAATCCTTTAAAGGGAATCATCTCATGGCAGGTGGGGTCTGGAGGGGTTTAGATCTCACTACTGAACTCCTCATCACTACTGCAGCTCCAGGCTGACCTGGGTGTGTTTGCCTGTTCGTTTAGGAAGCATTTATTTCAAGCTCTCTGAACCCAAGTCTTAATTTACAGCTTTTCAGTGTTTCAGCCACAATTTCATTTAGGCAGCCTCAGTGTGATTGCTATCCTGCAAGTCCAACTGCAAACTGCAGCTTCTGTCCAGGCTTCCATCTTCCCCTCCATTCACTCTTGCAGCTGTCTGGGCTTTCCTCTGGGCTGGGATTTCTATGGCCATATAACCAAAGTTCTTCTCTCTGTAGGGTATTTTCCCTGAAACGTATATCCATTTGAAAGAGGCAACTGTGGAAGACCGAGGGTAAGTGCCTCCTTTGGGGAAGACTCCTAAAAAAATGATGAAGATGTAAAATTATCACTGAGGAATACCTTACATACATTATTTCTCTCGACTCAGTCACTCCACTTCTCATATGAGAGAGAAATCAATAAAAATGTTTTCCTGGCACAGTTCCTTACTCTGTCTTCTCTTTTATAATTGTTCTTCCCTGGCATCCTTCCCCAGGACAGAAAAGACAGACGACGGAAAAACAGGGGGTCCTTTACCTTCCTCTTGCACTACCTGCTCACCGATTGCATGCACACGTGTGCACACACATGAACGCCTGGCACTTTTGCTGATAAGACCTGAGACCCCCTGTTTGGGAACTCTGAGAGACAGATGAACAAGCTCTCTCCTGCACTAATCAGCTCTGAATCTTGGACAAGTCAGCTAGCCTCAGGCCACCTAGGGCTTGGAAAACAAATCTGACCCTATGAGTGTCACGAGCTTGATGAGAAATTGTGAAATAATGTGTGTGAACATCTTCTACAGTAAATTTCATTATGTTTTGGGTATTTTCTTGTTCACCTTCCCATTTGTCCTGGAAAGTACTGCCCCTATGGCAGTTAGGAGGAGTGACACTCAGCCTGAAGTAGGGGAGAGAGGCCACTTAGTCGGTGAGCCCGTGGGCAGGGGAGTTAAAAGAGGGACTAAGGAGTGCCCGGCGCCAGACTGGAGTCCCAGGGCTGATACCGAGTGGAGTGGGTCATAGACCCAAAGCTGCCAAGAACGTTTTCAGTCATAAATTCTGCCTCCTTGTTTTAGAGACTCCTTAGAAGCAGAGTCAGACTGGATTACCTGCCCTCCTGGAGTATCTTCCTTGCAGTGGGCCACTCCCAGGCCACCTCCAGTGTCACTAGCCACAGCCACGTGGGTGGAAAGGAAGGGTGGGAGGCGTACTCCCTCTGATTGGAGTTGCCACATAAAATGCAGGGTGTCCAGTTAAATATGTGATTTGGGTAAGAACAAGTAATTTTTTATAGCATGTCTCAGATGTTTGAATCTATCTGAAATGCAGACTTAACTGAGCATGCTGTATTTTTATTTAAGTCCAACAAACCTACTGCAAACCCCGTTCATTTGCTTGCTCTCACTCTCTCCTTCTCTCCGTTTGCTAGTCATGAAAGTATCAGAGAGGATTTACCTGACTAAATGTCAGGCCTACCTTGTCATAAGTCCCTGTGAGTAAGAGGAGTTTGGTATGCATAGTTTCTGGGCTGTAAGGCAGCAGATGAAGGGGAAACCTGGTAGCACTGCCTCGATCCCCGCCAGCAGTGCGAGGTTATAGGCCCCAGGACCCTGTGCACGCACGCTTCCCCACCCATTCTCCCTAAAGAAGCGGATGCTTGGCAGACTCAGCTAAAATATCGGATTTTGGCTTCCATCCCTGGGAATCACGGAAGCCAGCTTGGCTCAGTAATCGAGGCTCCCAGAGAGATACAAAGTGGAGAGGTTGAGGCTGGGTGATGAGTCCATCGCTTTGCAGAAAATGAGCTCATTTTGAGAACTCTGGTGTTCTCAGCGCCTTCTCTTTTCTCAGATGCTTAGATTTGATAGTCTCCTACACAGACCTCCCCCCAATGGGCAAGTTTTGCTCTGTTGCAAGCCCAACCAGCACATTCCCATCTTTGAGCGTTGGGGAATCTGACCTCTGTCCAGACGAGCAGTGATGACCGACTTGGAGTAATGCAGGCATCTGTCTGGTTCTCTTTAGGCAGAACGAGACCGTGATTCCCGGCGAGCTCCCGCTGGTGCAGGAGCTCACGGCCACGCTGCGAGAATGGGCTGTCATCTGGCGCAAGCTCTACGTGGTGAGTTTCCCCTGGCGCCTGGGGCCAGTGGCATCATTCCTGGGCTCTCAGCCTGTCTGTTGGGCTGCAAAGCCATTCTCTGCAGGGGGTCAGCACTTATTAGTCTGTGGGGAGTGGGTGCATCTTACCTGGACCTTGCAGTGGCTGATAACCAGCAGGTTCTCATTCCCCAGGGTAGGGTCATTGGTGATATGGGCAGTGGAGGAAGTAGATATAATAATTAGTTGAGTCTTTTCTCAACTGACAGCATGCTGATTGTAAAGTAATAAAGGTAATAACAACTGTAAACACTTGCAAGTCCTGACTAAGTGCCAGAAACTATTATTAATCCTACGATACTCCTGTAAAGCAGGTGCAGTTATTACCAGTTTATCAGTGAGGAACCGAGACATCCTGTTAAACTCTGTATGTATTGAACATGGGGGCAGCTGTCTTGCAAGAGGCCAAGAATGCCCAAAGTCCATCGGCAGCAAGTTTGTACCCGTGTCCACTTTAGGAAGCTCTTTTTCATGACATCGGAATATATAGACACTGTTTTCTGAAGTTCCTTCTTTCCCGGAGACCGTGAGGATAAGCATCGCTAGGTCTTGTCTCTGGAAGCATCTCCCAGCCTTCGTGGTTGGCCAGGAATTCCTGTGAACGTGCCTCCTCTTGCCGCCTGTGTGAATGAGTTCAGTGAGGGCACAGACTCCAGTCGAAGGCCTGGGAGCCCTTCTCCTTCCTTCACGTGGCTCTGTTTATCTAGATTGTTTTTCAGTCGTGTGCCGAGTCTTCATTTTAACTCCCCAAAGCCGATCTTAATAAGTTGTTGGGAGCACATCACTCTAGACCCTAAGTATGAAAAGACAGTAATCGAAAGCACATTCTGCCATAATGCTAAGTGTTCACATAAGAGATTTCGTTCCCACCCAGGGCTGTTGTTTCCAGGATGGAGCACAGTGGTAGACATCACCAGCCCCTTTGGTGGAAAAGGGCAAGGTTTTTCTCGGCCTGCCCATCCTTCAAGGCCAAGTTTAAGCTCTTTCTTCTTCGTAATATGTCTTCTAAAGACACTGATCCATAACGTTTCCTTTGGGACCATAGGAGCACTTATAGCTGAACCCATCATCTGGTCCTTGGGGCATTACTGCCCTGTAATGCGAGTGATCTTTTGATCTCTTTATGTTTAATTGAGGAGAGAGCTAACCTGTAAGTTCTTAAATCACAAGAGAAGGGACATGCTGTTTCAAACCCTTTGGCCTCTGTCCACCATCTTATATTTCTATTGAAAGCACTCTCTGGTTCTGGTTAATTGATTGGTTAGTGGGGGGTGGAAGAAGTTTGATGGATGAGGAATGACGTGTGCATGAGTTAGCTCCTTAGTGTAGAGTTTCTGGGACTCAGTGGGTGGTGAAATGTATTAGGTAATAAGTACTGGAGAGATGTTTTTATTTTAAGGTGTAATGTAGAAGGGTGGAGAGAATGAATGAGACTGCCTTTTCCTCTTGCTAAGACACAACTCCTGTGCTGAGTTTATTGTCTCTGACCTCCACATGTCCACAGGTAATTGTACCAAGTCTACTATTGAGCAGAAATGAGAAATAAGGGATCCAGGGAGGGGAGAAGTATGATTTGGATATTTGGGCTTCCAAATCCCGTAGCAGTTAAATGGCAATGAACTCAGGTTTGGGGTTTTTAATGTGGGTGTTCCACTATTTAATAACAGAATTGGGTTCTAAGTTTAAAAAAAATCTATCCCCTCTCAGAGGGTAGCACATTTTTCATCTTAATTTTGATATCTAATAAGATAATTATATTGCTCTTTGTGAATAATTTTAAAATGTCTTATAGCTGCTGTTGGTTGACTAAAATATATTTGTTGTGGAAACCTTAATCAGTTGATAGGGCTGAGCTGTCTGCCTCTGCTTTTGATTCATGATTACCATTAAGAAATAATCCACTTCAAATGGGCTTGTTATAAATTGTGGTTTCTCTGTCTTTTCCCCGCTGTCCCTTCCTAAACCACTGATGCTTCACTTCAGACAGAATTTCTAAGCTTATTTCTCAAAAATTGTGTGTCAAAAGAGCAAACCTCATATATTATGCTTCACTGGGAAAAAAGTAAAAGAACCAAAATCCGTAGTTTTTACCACCACCAAGCCCCCGCCACGCACACTTTTTCCAGTGTTTTTGTTTTCTAGTTCTGCGTGTAAGTACCTTTAGTCTATGTGACGATAAATACAGGTTTTTGTCATCTACATCAACACTCATAGTATTTCTCTTGCGTATTTCCTGCCTACCCATTCTGTTTGGTGTCTTCAATGACCACCGTGGTGTCTTAGAATCTCACATTTCCTAGTTTCTCTTCCAAGACCAAGTGCATGAGGAATTTGTGTTGTAGACCCAGAGTCCTACGTGAGAGGAAAATACAGTCCACTCACCAGACTCAGCCTAGCCGTGTAAACACAGGCAGTTATGCTGGACAGGAGAGGTAACTGTATGGCTATGATTTACTTTTAGCAGTTATGCTGTAATCTTGTGAAATAACCATAAATGCTTTGAAAGGGAAGGGAGTTCCTTATGCTGAAGAGGAGGGCGACTCACTCATCCAAAATAGAAAGTTCCATCCACCACTAACCAAGGAACCCCATATTCCTCTTTGTTATATTAGTATTATTTTCTCCATTGAATTATCTTTCCTGGTGGATGTTGGCCAAGCTGTAGGATACAGACACTGGACTAGGAAATTAGGAAGCTTAATTTCTGGTCCGGGCCCTGCCCTAACTGGCTTTGTGGTATTGGGCAAGCCACTCGAGGTCTTCAGGTGTCTGCTGGATTTTGCTCTTCTGTAAAAGTGATATAAAATCCGCCTTGTTTACTCCATAGAGTTTAAGGGTATGAAAAGAGGTGGTGGCTGTGAAATCACTGTAGAGGCAGGTCAAGGACTCTGCAGATGTGAACGTGTGACCCTCGATGCTGTCTTAGCTGGAAACAGTAGCCGCTCTGGCCATCCTCCCTTGGCTCTGCGTCCCTCTGATCTGACTTGGAGACTCTGAAGCTCCCTTTTGTGCACCCCCCTTATCCAAGGCCACCTCCTCTCCATGTGTTATCTTCTTCGGTGGAGTGACCTTGAGCACTCAGTAACTAGGCTAAGTGTTCCTCACCATAGATAGTGAGCCTCCTTGGTTTAGGTTCAAGTCCAGGAGGCATGGGTCATTGCAGAGAGGAATGCAGAGTGCAGATTCACAGCGCTTTCTGAGGAGCCTGGCCTGCACTGCCCATCCTCAGTTGGATCCTGTTTACTGTGCGTGTTTTTAGTGGTTGATCAGGAAAGGAGGAAACTTTGTGAATGAGGAGGTGATTGCCTGTGAAATGGCACGACTGTGGACATTGGGTCAGACAGGCGGCCAGTTCTTAATTCTGGCTCGCTCCCTTGCTTGGCATATACTTTTATATTCACTAGAAGGAATGAACCTTGGTTTCTCATCCGGGCCCTGCCCTAACTGGCTTTGTAATCATAGCTATACAGATACCTCTCCTGTCCAGCATAACTTTTTGCAGGATCAGTTACTGCAAACAAACCAACAGCAACCGAAAGAACACAGGTTCTGAAGGCAGGGGCTTGGGTTCAGGGTCTGTCGCTGGATGAGTCTATAGCCTGAGATGAGTCCTTTGACCTCCTGAGTTAATCTCCTCACTTCAGGTGGTAGTTACATACTGTATATGTCTTGCGAATTTGCTGTGAGAATTCAATAGGATAATGTTTGTAAAACTATTGGGATAGTGCCTGGCAACTGTCTTTAAAATGTGACAGCCCCTGGTTATCCCTGTTACAGCTCTGCTTCACAACAGTGTTGGTTAGTGATGACAAGCGTTAGGAGAACTAGGTGGCACTGTGGAATTTGGCCCCCAGGTCGGTTAAGGGTGGGCCCTCCAGCTTGCGGCTGAGGAGGTGGGCTCTCTTCCAGCCCTATAGGGACGTAACTAGTCCAGGTGGATGGTTTGAAGTAGGCGATTCATTTTTCTCTGCTGCCTCTGGGGATTTTTTAGTTTTCCCTGTCTCGGAAAGGAGATCCAGTGAGCTGAACTTGGCTGCTTTTCTTTCTAGCAGCGCATCCCTTCTTCATGTGAGTTTCCCCCTCTAGAAAGGCAGACTCCTTGATTTAGACATGATTGGACTGATGCAATACCTAAGTTTACCTTTTCAGTAACAACCCAGTTATACTTTCTGAATATGCACAAACCTACATCCTACCTCATAACATCATATTTTCTCAACTAACAATCAGGTCTTGAAAACTGACAAGTTAGAGTTTACTTTGGGGGACATTGGGACAAGAATTTTTAAAAGAGGGACTCTCCTGGAAATTCCAAGATGTTTTAGATGTCATAAACATACTTTCAAACATCTCACCCTGAGATTTAGTTCAGCGCTGTTCCGGACTTGCAGTTGGAGAGATGGTTTGTTGAGTTTGGGTCAACCAGGCCGTTTTGTCCATATAAGATTGGGAGACAGAATGTAATCCTATCTCCTTAAGGCAAAGAGATACGAGAAGAGCCTGGTGGTAGGTGGTTAATACATATTTTGAATTAAGTGAATGTAAGTGCTAAAATGTCGTTCATACAAAGGACTGAGCTCCTTTGATATAAAATGTACCAGCAAAATAAAACCTTGTGCTAGTCTGTGGTTCTGTAAAAATCTGGAGCAGAACAAGTGCCCATAATTGAGGTGGGGGTGGGGGGACTTGCCCAACACAATGAATCGCCCTTTCTTCTCATCAGTGTATATCCTGGCAGATTAAAGCTGCTCAGGCCTAATCTTTTTGAACTGGTAGTTATTACTGGCTGCTGGAACATAGGCTCTGAAGTGTAATTAAGCTGATCTCATGGTTTGAAACCAGCGTCTGATCGCTTGTTCCCAAGGACAGAAATTTCCCATAGCCGACCCCGTCCTGTTGTCAGGGCGTTTTATCTGCGAGTTGCAAGCCCTGGGTCAGCGTAGCCCTCAGGAGAGGCACGAG